TAACTATATTTATGTTTGTATTTGGATTAAGTCTATTTGTATTCTTCATGCCTAACGTATTAGGAGATAGCGATAATTATATAATGGCTAACCCTATGCAAACTCCAGCGGCTATAGTTCCAGAATGTGAGATCATTTTGTAAACTGCCGCAGCCCGATGTCGATGGTAGAGATATTGAAAGGATGTGGCTTTGCAAGGCAACCAGGAGAGGGAGGGTCAGGTTCCGTAGATCTGTGAATGATTTAGAGGGGTTAAGCAGCGAGAGCCAGGGCTCGTACCTTCCTGGCCGAGTTGATCTACTGAATCTGTAGAATATGGCGTCTTTTCCCTGGTACATACGGACTCGAAAGTACTGCGAACATCATCAAGCCCATTTCCAATGGGATTGCGCTTGATCTGTTCTGATAATCCGGTCATGGCGGATGGTAAGTGGTCGGTCAGTTAGCGGATGGGGATTTGCGGGCTGTGGCATCTTTGGTCGGTGACGCGGCTGTCGGAAACTTGATATTCCGAAGCCAACAAGAAACACTGCCCAATCAACGGCTTGAGGATGAGCCTCTTCATGCTAATCTGATTGGAGGGGTTGCTGGAGAGCCCGGACGATAGCGAAATGAACAGTCAGGGAAGCAATGATCAGTGTACCCATTGGGCGTGAGGCCAAGGGCCGTATGAATAAGTTGGTGATCATTGGCTTTAGGATAGCATCGATCTTTCGCCCCTCAAGGCGCCCAGGCGAAGTAGATCCGCCAAACGCATGTCTTGATTTGCTTTGCTGGATTGACAAACGCATTGGCAGATTGGTCAGCATCAGAGGGGTAAGGGGGTCTCAAGATATGGCAGGCTGGAGAACTACTGTTTGTGCACCGTAGCTCGAGATACGTAGCCGATGCCCCCGGCACTGCCAGCTCTTCGAGCGGAATGTCACGCAGTGCATAGTGAGAGTGTGCGATTGGCCGAGGACCATACGGATGCCGGCACAGACTCCAGCGCAACTTGGCTAGAGGAACTTGCATCTGAGCGCGCGTACGGCACATTATTGCGAAAGGGGAAGCTTGCGTGAGAAATACGCATAGTGAACAACGCCTGGCCTGCCCGTCACGTTTGCCGTGACGAGTTATATGGCAGTCCAGCGCCATCAACGAAAACTAAGAACAACACCTGTCTGGCTGTTCAACCCTCGCTTGATTCCATCACCGAACTGGGGAACCAGCATCTGCCATGACTGCGCTTCTACGCGCCGCGCCTACCGACAGCATCTTTGAGCAACGCGACCCTATGGAGCGCTCGCACACGCTCGATCCTGATGGGGACGTGGTGCTTGTCCTAGAAGATACGAATCCAGCTTTTGCCCTGTGGGATAAATGCACCACCGCCGGGCTTCAGGAACTTAACCGGTGGTACGATTCGCACTAGCCGTACTCGGAGAGAAGGCCAAATGGTAAAGCTGACCATCTTGTACAGCCAGCCTGACAGCGCAACGCATCCTGAAACACGCGTCACAGGCGAGCACACAAGACTCACATCAGTCTCGTGGAATTTGATTTCGGCATTCAAGGCAGGACCAAAAGCAGAAGGCAGCTTCAGGAAATTGAGCAAAAGGGACAAGAGAAAGAAGAAGAGGCAAGAAGAGTCGAAGTCTCCAACGGTGTTTTGGGGTCCATATCAGCGAAGCCAGCAGACTTTGAGCGAGCTTCCCCGAGAGCGACCGTTAGCTTTCACCGAGCGGGGCCCACATCCGCCGACAAGACGGCCGTGGAGCTGTTTGCTTCTGTCACACATGACCAGCATCAGCTTTCAGCCAGCAGTGCGCCCCTGCACTTACTTTAGTGGACTGAACCATTAACCAAGAGCCAAGAGAGTCACTTTGTCATGTATGTACTCAGTGTGTACATACCTATCAAAACTTGGTGTATAGTACGGGAAGGGGTTGGACGCAACTGGCAATACATCGATTGAATTTGATTTGGTGAGGCTACGGCGTACGTCAAGCACTCTTCCAACTGAGCGCGTCTTGACTACAACCTATCCCGTCGCAGGAGACACAATCATGTCTTTGAGCGCGCACAACCTCAGCTTGAGTACAGGCTTGACCCACCGCGAGCACCAAGATGAGCCGGACCACCGAGCGCCAGCCTTCAGCTTGATTTTCAGAGCACCTCCACTCAAAAGCGCTGATATTTGGTACGGCAAGAATGTGGGATCCCGTACGATAAAAGAGCATCGCTAGTGATGACTGGAGGCTGAAGCTGATTATCAGGATACACCACTGCCTCCCTTGCAGTCCGAGTCGTTCAGCGATTTTCCCTCAGGTCTCTGGCACCAATCCAGAAATGCCTTAATTCGACGACGAAACGCAGATGTGTCGTGAGTGTTGTTATGGTTTCGCACGACCCAACCCTTAATCCAAGAAGCCAGGTCCACGGCTTCGGGATCGGAGTGGTGCCGTGCGGCTGCTGAGTATTGTGACGCAAGGTCTTTGTTCCTTTTCAGAGGCAGATACTTGACAAGGGCTTCGAGAATCATCGTCAGGTCTGCCGAGCTTGGCACTCTCTGCTCAGGATCCGATACCGATGCTGCCATCAAGAGCGCAAGCGCTTTCGCGCCGTCTTCGTTTTTGACAAATGCGATTAAAGCGGCCGCAAAGTTGAGAAAACGACATCCGTCAGGAGTCGACGACATGACTGCGAAACTTGTCTTCAGAGCATCCGAGTTTGCAATGGATACATCGATTTCCCAGAGTATTGGTATGCCCTCTGTGGCTACAGTGCAGCCAAAACCCTGACACGCGAGGAGTGCTTCAGCATGAACATCGTCATTGGCCGCAGCGTACAACCAGCAGAGCTCAACCTGAGGCGGATAGTCCCATTGGCCCTTGGCCGCGTAGGTCGACATTTCGAAGTTGGGCGAGCACGAACGAACTCGATCCAGTGGAGGAGATGCGTCGGCGATCACAAGGGAACAAGGCGTTTTATGGAAGTTGGCTGCCTCAAGAAGAGAGCGGGAAAATTGTAGAGCGGAGACGTCTGGCTGGGCTGGCAATGGTGGGCTTGGCTGACCTCAACCTTGACACAGTGTGCTTTCCAGCATCACTCACGGCTGCTTGGTGATAGCGCCGTTAGCTGGTGATTGTTTTCCGGGACATCTCAGGTGTCTCCAGGCCATATCACGCAACCCCTGCCTTGTGCGGGCGGGGCCGGTCAGCGACGCAGCAGTGGCACTAGGGAACTCGCTGGTGGAGTGTGTTTGACCAACGACCTTATTGATGAGATTTGCCAGGTCGGTGAACCATAGCTGGTTCACCGACCCCCCGTATCTAATCTTCTGGGCTTCCTCGGATTCCCTGCTTCGATACTCTGCCACGTCTGTTCTTGGCAACCCCTTGCCGAGCTCCAGCGCGTGGTACAATATTGGGTAATCTGAACGATTCCTACCGCCGATATTCTGCCGTGTGGCCAGGGCGTACACGCACTGGAGAAAGCTCTCGCGTAGCTTCGCTGACCCAGGCCGATTGGTGAGACATGTAGCACCCTGCTGCGAAGACCAGGGACCTCACTGGACCCTGCCGGGGTTTACGTTCAGCCAACGAGACAAAAGTTCGCGCGGAAGATAGTTTCGTGGCCAGGGGAGTGGTAGAAGCGGGCAGCGGGGCCGGGGTCTCACCACGGGCTGTAAGTTACCACAGCTTGCACGCCGATTGAAGCGGCTGTCGTGCCTTGGTGGCAAGACTGTATGGAGAGCCGTCACCAAGAAGCTATTGTACTGAAGAAAGAGGAGAATTGTACGGCCTAGAGGTTTGAAGACGATGCACAATCACCGGAGATACAATAAGTACAGTAGATATCGATTTTGGCTTCCGTCCTTGCGGGTAGAAATTGATCTGTGCACAGACATATATGGTCCCGTTTGCTGACAGGACACATACTGATCAAGTACATTCATCGATGACCTCCACAGTAAGGCCAGAATCGCTTCTTTACTGAGGTTTCCTTTTTGACCTATGTTGCATACTGTAGAGACTACACTTGCCATCGCTGTTTGTGGACAACATGGGTCTATTCCATGGACACAGTGTAAATGCAATAAGATGGACAAGGTCTTGTGATTCCCGCTACGGCAAAACCCACCACCCTTAGAGCCAGGTTCAGAGCATTCATCACGGCAAACAATCGCGGAGCATCACAATGGGGGTTGTCGGCAGTCTGCCAAAGCACGACCTGAAACGGGAGCTGCTGAACGGTACGATGAGCTGCGAATGGTCGATCAAGATCGCATGCGATTGTATTCGTGCGGTCTGCTGAGAACTACGTGAAGCGGACTCGAGAGATCACGCAAAGCTGGCAATGCCTATTGAGGAACGGCCAGCTTCACGAATCAGAGCAAGGCAGACAGACTGACACGCTTCGTATGCCGCAGGCGGGCGGCTGTGGAGGCGTTCGCCTCGAGCGAAGTACTGGGGACTTTCTAGCGTTCGACGGGTTGCCGCGCTGCACCACCCTTGGATGTACTGCGAACTGCATGGTACACTTAATATGGATCTTCCCCTGCACGACTTTTGGCGCCCGGTGTGGCGCTGTTCTCCAGCATGTCGCCAGTCGAGTGGGGGCCAGGCGGCGACGTGTGCACTAGTGACTGCCTGCTGCAGCCGCACCTGTTCCCCGGTGTGCATGGCCGTGCCCATCCAACTGCTCCTTCCGGGGGATTAGCCCCCGCAACGCCAGCTTCGGAGCCCCTGTCCATCCGTCGGCGCATAGTCCGAACCCTGGGCGAAATCGTTGGGGTGATGACTGTGTCATGGGCATGATCCGGCGGCAACGAAGCTCTGCCAATAGTATAAATTGCAGGTTCACGTTGGTACGCAATTGGATTTCGTCCATAGAACGCACACACATACTCTCTCATTCTTGCAACGAACCCCAACCCCGACCCCCCCACCCCGCCAGCAAGCGCCATATTCACCATGGCTATATCAAATGACCCTGCGATCAAAAAACTAATCGATGATTCGTTGAGGCTCGATGAGTTCGCAACTAAACGGTTGTGGAATCATCTCTTTTCGAAGGAGATTTTCTCCGAAAAGGAGTTTGTCATCGGCCCAGAGCAGCCTCCAGTAGAACTGCATTCTAGGAGACGGGTCGACTTTATCATCGAACGGTATAGCGGCCGGGAGTTGGTTATCCAGGTCATGGTCGAGCTGAAGAAGGGCAGAGCTGGGCCTCAAGATGTCGTGGATGTGGAGAGTCAGCTATACTCCGCTTGTTATGAGTACTATACGGAACACCCCGAACGGGAAAGAATGTGGACGTGCAGCATCTGCGGGCCCAGAGTCCGCATCTGGGCTTTCGACGCTCATCTTGACTACCTGGTCCCCGCGTGCCCAGCCTACGGTGCCATAGGGGAGATTTCATCCTATCTCGACTTTCGAACTTCGGAAGCAACTCTGATGGCCTACTTCGATACCATCAAGCAGAATTTGCAGCCGCCTGACGCCGTGTTCGAGGTGTCAGAGGCCAGCACATCGGACGAAAGCATGTCGGACGACGTGATCTTGGAAGAGTTGAACCCAGCGAGTGTCACATTCGCTGTTGCGGTCAAAAGGCGCAGCCAGGGACCGAAAATCAAGACGAGAGATGGCACCGAAGTCAGCACTGACAAAGCCAGATGGAAACCAGCGCAATGCATGGTAGACGGGACGATGGTTAAGGGCTTCAAATATGTCGGTAACTCGGGGACAGTCTATTTTTCCATGAATGTCAACAATTACTTCTAGTCTGAGAGTACGTTTACTCGTGTATCCGGGGAATTGCTATCAGTCAGCTTCGTTATAGTCATCACCATTTGTGTTGCTGTCGCCCAAACCTCCAACGTGTCCTCATGTGAGCAAACCGTCCATTGCCCATCATCGCAAGCGTCATTCCCCTGTGACCGGGAACTTCTCACCATCACCATCACCATTGCCATTCGCTTACCTGGGCGCTCTTGCCGCCGAACAACCTTGAATGAGAACTGTTCCACAGCCCCACATCTCTCGGCTAGATCAACCCCTACGCGACACTGCCCCAAAACCTTTTCCGTGCCATCATGATACTCAACAATAAGGCCCCGACAGAATCGAGATTCCTCGTCGCGGAATATCCAGATGGATTTCACGCACGATAGCTTAGCCAGTGCATGGCATGCGTCTGGAAATGGAGGGTTTTCCGGGGCTGGAGGGACGACAACTGAGCAGGGTCCGCCTTCTCTCAACACCCCACGGATGACGACGGACTTGTTTCGCGCCACCACAGACAGAAGAGTCGATCGCGACGTGGTGAGGACGGCATGTTGTTGTCCCGGGCCAGTGGGTGGTGGACCAATGTAAAAACCCCCTCTATGAGGTGTTCTGACCTTCTGACTGTCAGTCAAACCAATTTGCTCTGTGGAGTTTGGCTTACAAGATATGTCCGTTGATTCAACTGAGGTTCGCCTTCTTTTGTTCCAATTCGAACCCCGAGGGCTGAGATCTTATCCCGAGGTGGATTTGGCACGTAGAACCATGACAAGGATGGCTGAATCGTTGATTCAATTTGTGCGAAGGTAGTATCTGCGGTTGGTGCTGTGGGGGTATGTGCATGGATCGCCAGCAAGTCCCTCTTCAACAAGAAGAACGTGATTCCTGAGCAATGGTCCAGATCAACAGTGGCAAGTCGATCACCGTGCTTTGGGGACGGAAATTGAAAGCCCGCCTTCGGTGACAAATTAGGCGTGTCCGTAAGTTGGAGCGTTGCTGGCCTTGGGGGCGTTGCAAGCCGGCCGACACCGAACTGAGAAGGGACGTAAGAAAAGAAGCGATCACTGGGAAAGCAAACCATACTGACCTGGAAGCTAATAGTGAAGTCGTTCTCAGCGTCAACAGTGGTGTATAAATCGAATGTTGACCGCAGCTGGGCGGTAGAGCACCCAGATCTCTCTATGCACCTAATGCCCCTTGAATCTATCGTCATCTGAAGTGGTTTGGACAAGCCTGATGTAGCTATGATTGGAAGTTTTCCACGTTGCCAGAACTGAACTTGGCGAAGTGGTCCCAACAGGGGCGTGTCAAGGCCTTTGCGGTGTGCGAAGTCGATGGTCTCGAGCACGCAACACAGACGCAGTAGGGCGTGTTGTCCAAGATATCCCCAAATCATTGTGGTTAGTTCGGGGGGAAGTTTTGCAAGTTTGCGCAGATGGGAATGAGCAATGCCGTGCGTGGTATTCACGACTGGGGAAAGGAGAAGGGGCGTGCTTTGAGGCCACGGATATCTCGCAAGTGAACATTTCAGTAATCTGTATAGTTTATCTGGGAGTGCTGTTCGCGAGCTGTAGAGGTTGAAACAATCCCTGTGAACGGTGGCCGTTTCTGCAGCCGCCGAGCAGATTTTGCAATGCGGATGCCGACAAAATAGATAAGGATCACGGGTTTGTGGCGTTCCTGTTGCGGCAAATGTTGCTGCATCAAGGGCGATAATGCGCGTTGAGGAAGCGCGCACTGCGTAGTGATACATGTCAGCCGAAGTCATTACATATGGAAGGAGTGAAGGCCCCTCACGTGCAACCAGATGGTCTCCAATGCCAAACAGAAACCCACACGCTCCGCATTGCCGATGGATGCGTACGTGTTGAAAGCTTGGCCTGTCTTGATGAGACATCATTCCAGGTTTCGCGACAAGGAGGATGAAAGAGCATGGAAGGATGGAAACTTACGTCTGTGGGAAGGGATGAACTCGTTAACCATGCCAATGTACGTAGCCTGATTAGTCAGCGGAGTAACATTCCACCGTTACCAAGACCGACCGTCCTAAAGCCCACCGCGACACAGGCACCATGGAGACCCCAAGGCCCGAGTAGCAGTGATGGCCGACGCATCACCGAGAGCACGCCACCCAACTTAGCAGACACCTCCAGACAGCATTCAGGTCTATCGACATCGCAAATGGCCAATCCCTCAGCTTGCAAGCCATGAGAGCCATGCCCCTTGCTACCCTCTCGTGCTTGCCAAAATGCAGAACCTGCCCGAGCTTGGACACCCCCACTAGGCTATCGAGAGCCTACGTGCGGCAACCAAAACAGACATCGAGAACACCACCCGCGAAACGAACATCATCAGGATTGCGGTGCAGCAGAGCACAATCGAAATTACAAGCCCAATGCCACGCGCGCGGTCATCACAGCCGCTAGGGAGGCTTGACAAACTAGCGAGCTGGTGGTAAAGGTCGAAAATGATATCAAAGCACTGGACCCCGATGAATCAGGGGGACGCCGTGCAGTCATATGCCAGCGTGGCCGCCCGAGGAGGACTTGCAGGGAGCACGCATAATCTCTACAGCTAAAGAGTGACTCACGTGGAATCATTGTAAAACATGAGACATCTCATTATCACTGCCGGCCACACAGCTATGAAACCACGTAGCCTCAGGGCGCACGTAGACCGCGCCATCTCACAAATCAGTAACGAACGTTTCCGCAAGAGGAATGTCTATCTGGTCTATCGTTGGATGGCTTACGTCGATATGGTATCTTCTCGGCGAGGGGAGGCATCGTACTCTTCTATCGACAACAAGGTCGCTTGGACAGCCACACAGCTTGGTAGCAAAGAAAGCGATTCATTAGCGCCATCATGCTCGCCGTCCGGTAAACGGACCTCGCAGTGCACTCCGAAAAGCATCTGAGGTATATGGAACGTTTGATATCGCCCCACGTCGCACACCCCTCCATGACGAAGCCTCGTCGCGGTGATTTCGCGTACTTCGAGAATCTTATCGATCTCATGCCGAAAATTTGGCAACGTACTGAGTACGTGCACCATAGCTCCATAAGGACCCGCGGGGTACCGGAGGCGCGCGGCTCTACGGACCACCGACCCAGCAGTGTCCGCAGGTGGCTGATTGAGTACATCCGCCACTGAGTGGCGGAGCGCTCCCCTGAGGTTGCTGCAAACCAGATTGGCCAAATCCGAGCAGGAACAATCCCACGTGGTTCATGCAACTCCTGGGCCCCACCGCTGAAGAACTCGTTCTTTCGAGTCTTTCCACCCGTGCGAGAGCTGACGGAGACCCCATCCGAACCATGAGCTTATCACAAGAGAGACTTTTCACAGCCCGACACCTACACTCGCACCATCCCTTGCGCATTGCGGACAGGAAACTCAGTTCGTACCCACTACAACGACCCTACGTGAATATCCCAAGCGGCTATGGTTCGTTCTTGCTGGCAACACAGCAGTATCGTCAAGGGTCTGGGATGAGCTCGTGAGGGCTATGGCGCACGTAAGCATGCTAAGCTAAGAAGGCATGTCCTGAAGGGCGCCCTCGTACTCCAGGGCTGATGCAGTTCAGTGGGGCTTCTTGAAATGGTCACCCGCTCAAATAGGAGTTGCGTTCCCAGCCAGCTTTCGCCCTCAGGCATCTCAAAGATAGCAGTGTCTTTGCGCACAGCACAGTACAACATGATGGCTTTCGAGGCGGGACTACAGTACATGTTTCGGTATGCCCAAGGCGTCCTGAACTCCCAAGCCTCGACGAGTGCTGGATCCAAGCGGCTAGTCCAGTAGGATCTTCTCAAGCACGCGATTCCGCGAGGAACTATCGCAGCAAAATCCCGCTTACTACCGCAGGTTCCATTCACCTTCTGTGTAGTGGGTGAGTCGAATGGTTTCAGTGATGGGCCAAAATCAAGACTGGGTACTATAGGCTATCCTTGAACGCTCGCAAGGTTCATGCCTATCAAGACCAGGGCCACAGTGAGTGAGTGCAAAGCCGACGTTCGATGGGACGTCCTCGGGTGTGGAAACTATCAAGGCCAAAAGAGCTCACGGAAGGCAGGGTGACAGGCGGCCCTATATGCGAGCAAACCAACAGGGATATGACGGTAGCTCAGAGCAGGGTGTTGAATCACATGACCGCCAGGCTTTGGTAGCGCCGGGCATGGGTTGAAGCTTCTATAAAGGTTGTAATCGCATCTCAATAGTTGATTGGCGGTTCTGAGCTGCCCCAACCCCAAACACAAACAGCAAGGTTGCCCATTCGAAGATGACATATCCTGAGCTCTCCCCCGAAAGGATGTCGTATTACCTATCTGACGATAATACCGACCCAAGCCTCAACGTCGTATGTCCACCTCTTTTTCTTGATTCTGATTCGCACTAACTCTAGTTCAGGCCTATCTGAAAGACGCGTACGATCTGCTGCACCACACCCTAAAGAATGAGCCCAGAGCAAAGGTAGACCTAAATTCCTTGCCTTACAGCTGCGCTATCCTTGATTATGGCATGCGGACTGGAATTTGGTCGATTGAAATTGCAGAGTCAGTCGCTAGTCCTCCCATCTTTCGAGTCACAAAGTTGACCGAGTGCAAAGGAGCGTAAGGCACTTGCATGGTCGAGTGGTGGGTTACGATATTATCGACATGCACCCGCCAATGTAAGCCGATTTGGATGCCTAATGAATCCACATCCTTACAGTCATGCAGGAACAAATTACCGGACAATTTGACCCTTGTCACAGGAGATGACGAAAGGGTGTGGCGCAAAGAAAGTCCCTACGACATCATTCACGTGCGGTTTGTCGAGAGCTTCTTAAATTGGCAGAACTTCCCCAAAATTGCCTACGACAATCTCAACCCGGGTGGTCGCTTGATCGTCGAAATGGTTGATCTTATGCCTTGCGGCGACGAGCAGAAGTCTTTTCCATGAAACTCGGCTCTCAAAGCCTGGGCAGAGAAGTTCTGTCAGTACGATAAGCGTCAAGCTAATCAACAGGAAATCGAGGCTTTACTTCGAGATCAGGGCTTCGACGTTACATGTGCAGCGATCGATTTACCGATCAATCCCTACGGGCAGTCTAAAGATGAACAAGAGAGCGGCAAACGTTTTCATTGGTGCCTTAGACAATTTCTCCCAGCCAAATGCTTTGCATCTCGTCGTGAGTCTCCGCCGCAAGAAATGTTGGGCCTGGTGGCCGATGCAACCAAGGAAATCCGGAATCTCGATCACCATGCTTTCTGTAAATGGTATTTGACCCACAACAATCCGTGAATGATCGTCCTGGGTTATTGACCTTTACTCTGTTTAGCTACGTCTTGACGGCTTTCAAGAGAGCGGACAAATATCAACCATGGTGGTGAACTCAGCAGCATTCGTCGTTCACAGGCCAGAGATGCTGGGACACGGGTGGATCTATTGCATGTGTGAAAAGAGAGCATAGCAAATAGATTATGCAGCGACATTCGCCTTGGATCGTACAGAGCGCGGTGTTGTCGCCATGTCTGAGATCTCGGCTTCTTTGAATGCCTCCTGATACCCATGGGTGGAGGAGGTGTGGCACCGTCTCGTGGGGGTCAGAGGGGATATGTACGTGATCGGACGAGTTGATGCTTGTTACGCGACTAGGGCGTCAATCTGCCACGAGTCTCCTTCGATATCGTCTCACGTGCCGAATCACTCTCTGGGCAATGGAGACCCATTTTCTTGGGTGAAGATGATGGCGAAGAGGGCCACCAATCTTCCTCCATCAGCAACGTTTCCGTATGACCTCATCACACCTAACATAACAACAGCTCTCTATTGACTGATGCTAGGCTTTGTGTGTCTATGCCCTGTGCCCCTCTCCGCTCCAACCCTATAGTGACTGCACTGCCTGAACTCGCCTCTATGAAGGCGCCGCTGAAAGGCCCGCCGAGTGCTAGGCAGGAGGGGCCAGACGAAACGCGATTGATAGCAAAACGACAATGTAATGCTTAACGTCTGCAACCGTACGCATGATCATTCTGCTCTACAGCATCTGATGGCTACACTCAGTGCCGTTCACCGGCTGCTGAACCCTTTGGTCCTTCGTCCACTTTTTAGGGGCGGACTTGACTTCCCTCTCGTTCGATTACCTTCTGCAGCGATCCACCAAGCTCAAAGATCATGATTGAAGAGCCTTCTGCAGCTAGTCGGGGGACAAACAAGCTCAGTTTCTTGTTCGGATCGACATTTCGGGCATCTACAACTAGGCTGAGTAATCATGGGAAGGGAGCTTCAGGAAGGGCAAAAACTGACCCAAGGCGGCTATTAACTGATCGACTATCTTCTCCAGACTCTTGGCTAGTTCCAACACGCGAATTGTCACCCCTGTATCTTGCATAAGCTTCGCAAGCTGCAGTTCCTTGTCTTGCATCTTCATAAATACCGTATACATTATTTATCACGACCTGACCAAGGTATGTAGGGCTCACATAAACATTTACCTGTTTTCCACCTTCTTTCATATAATCGAGGGTAGGAGATGGAAGATAGTTCCGCGTGACCGCAGACCCATCCGGGAGTAACTTGAACCAAATCTGTGCCAAGTAAATGACCCCTGAAGGTATGAGAACTTCCAACTTAAAGCTGGTGCAAGCTAGGTCCATGTAAGCCCCCGGTTGGCATGGAGGGCACGGTGACAAAGTCCAAAATCCCCTTTTTAAGCAGGATGTCTCCCCTTTACAGCGCGTGTTCCTTCTCTTCCACTCTTCATTGGATTTTCAACTCACCCGTGTTCACATCCTCATCATCTTGTCGGAATCGAAATAACAAACACTCACGATGGCGTGTGCCAAAATTTCAACATCTATTTCTTCAAACAATCACCTGAAAGAGCGACCCAAGTCTAGAATGCCCAGATGCCAAGAATTCCACGATGATGTTAAGGCTTTTCTGGAAACTTACATTACGTGCCAAGGTTGGAGAGCCAACACCATCAACGACTGGGGAAATAATGAGCACCGAATCGCTTTTGGGGAGATGGCCCGCGCATTTACTGTCCGAGGGAAACGATTTTGGCCTGACAGCGAGGGTCAAGGCCAAATCAACGTACTCAAGTACCCTACAGATCGAAAAGAGTGAGCTCTCAGGATCCTTGTCAATCAGATTGGCAACTAACAGACCAACGGACGATTGGTCGTTATCGCAAAGCTTCGTTGCGAAAGCCTGTTGCTCTCGCTAGACCACCATCGAGGACGATGGGTTCAGGCACTCCAGCGACAACTGGCGACGTTTCCGGACGTTCTCGAATCAGCCAAGGGTTGCGTCAAGCTTGAATACGCTGTTAAGATGTTTTGGGGATGCATGCAAGGCCCTTGAGAAGTTTTTACTCAGCCAAGACCCAAGGATCAGAAGACGTCAAGACGATGTCTGCATGGGCATTCCCGTCGGCGCCATCGGCGGCTTCGAAACGATGTTGTCAGTGTATTACGAAACGGACAAGACGTTTCAGGCCCGGCAAGTATGAATGTGTTCACGGCCACCCTGCAAGCTGACTGAGTAGTTACGAAGGCAAATTCTCTGGGGCCCACGAAGGTCTGGTCAATGGCCTTTCGTTATGACATGAGCGACGTCCAAATGGTCATTGTTGAGGCAGAGTCCCGTGCGTCTTTCCCAGATCTGGCAATGTATGAGCGTGGACTTGAGGTCGTCTCAGAGCTATGCGGGCTAATGCTAGACACCTGGGGCAACCAAGTCCTGCTACTGCACCGGATTACTGTAGCCTCTTATCAACAGCTTAAAGATATTTCTCGACAGTTTGAAAGCAATTACAACATACAGAGGCTGTTGGAGTTGACGGCAAGATTTTTGGGTGTTGCTCGAACTAGCGAGGAACAAGTTATCAGTCGGACAAACTTGTCTTTGTGTTGCGGCGGTACATTTCGACCTGCCATCGTGTTATTCACTCAGTGAAGAGATGTGAGGAAGGAACTAGCGACGACTTTCATCAATCAGTAGAGTATGCGGTAGCAGACCTGGTTGCATCTCAGAAACTTATTCTGCTGATGGCAGGTTGACTATCAGAAACAGAGAGGCACAACTTAGAATACTATTACAGTTCTAAGATGACTCGTATCGAAGCGCAGATTTCTCAACTTGAGCATGGCCTTCGAAGAGGCTGATAAGGTGCCTCGAGGGGTTCAATGCGCCGCAAAATGTCGATGGGCTGGAGAAGCTATGGCTATCTAACACGTCCTCGACTTTCGGTCACCATTACTTTGAACCGAAAACTTGGGGAGACCCGGCCAGCGAGGAGAAAGCCTACATCGAAGATCATTTCGGAGGCTGGAGGCAGGATGAAGCGGGAAGAGCACCACCGGGGCAAGCAAGTCGTCATCCGGACGATGACAACGCCCGACGTGGTGAACTCGCTTCCACGAGTTATTCAATGTACACTGACTGCTGCTGGTCAATGTTTGACTTCGGCAGTGCCGGCGGTTCCACCGATACCATAAGTGTGGACGCGACTGGCGATGGGGGTAAGGTTCTTCTAAACAACGGCATTTTCACTTCCAAGGCGTTGCCAGCCAACCATAATGTCCCCAGAGACTTTGCATTCTCTCGACGTCGTGAGTGAATGGGTTTCTTCCATGTCGCCCCACATGGAGAGCACCCCTCACATCCGGCCCCTCAAAGACGTCTCGCCCTGCGCCGGTCTCGAAGGCACCATCAAGGCAATTTCAACACCACGTCATCCACAGCAACCGACCTTTGTCTCGTCAATCTACGTTGGAGGCTCGCCATGCTTCACCCGCCGCATTCCGTAACAAGAAACGCCAAACACGTCGTCCCACGGAAACTACCAGAGCAGAAGTTGAGCACGATACTTCTGGTCGCACTCTCAATACATGTTCCATCATTATCGTGGACGAAATGGCAGAATGCGAGGACTCTAGCGAAGCCAGTACGCCAGCTGTGGAACCTCTTCAGTCTGTCCGTCGCGTGGACTTGGACGGTACGGCGGCCGGGCGTTCTTTGATTAGAAGCATGTTAGAGAGGTTCTGAGTTGATGAAGATGGGAACACGGCTGCGAGCGGGGGATAGAAGACAGGAGCATTAGTGTAAACACTGACGTCACGTCGTCGCGAGGTATGGCACGCATGGAAGGACATAGGAAGTGCATTGTAACGGCTTGTGTCTAGTCAACACAAACGGAAAGAAGAACAACAAGCTCTATAAAAGGAGTGAAATTCGTCAGATAACGCACGTGACAGACGTTTCGTAGAGTGTTGACACTATTCCCGGTTCGTGCCGGATGTTGAGTTTGAAAACGACTCGTGAATTCAGAGAATCGCTTTGACATGGAAGGGAAGGGATTTTTAGATCGCCGCTCTTCAGAAAATCTGGCCATTATTTGTAGTCATATTCCAAATTCCAATACCACCGCCTATATGGTGTAGTATGGCGTAAAACCGTACGTGGGCAAAGTGGGGCAAGAAAGATGAAGCCTCTTAACCATTTAAGGCGATTATCTGCCCGGGAAAGGTCGATGATGGAACAGTAGTAGGCCCTAGACTCTCCCCAGCTACACCCCAATCGCCGCCGTTATCCAGAACAGATTCCTGTTGCGGGATAGGCTGACCATCAAAGCCATAGACCCACGGGTGGAGCGGCTCGTCTGCTACAGCATGGGCAGAGTCAGCAGCAGCTGTCAGGTATCCATTTGTGTATCCGGTTTCGAGATGCGTGCTCTCCGCGCAATAGCCGCTCGGTGTGCTGTGCTCTACTGGCTTGAACAAATAACTACCACATCCAGCACACCATCCGCAATAGCAGTTGTGAGCTGGATAGAGGAAGACCGGGTCGCAGCCGCCTGAGCTAGGAGCCTCGAATCATCGTTGACTACATAGCGATCTGAGGACACACGGACTTGGACTCATTAGTGGTCATCCACCGCTTCAGCGTATCTGGGTTGACCTACTTCATGAATGCAGTATGCAAACAAATAGGGCACATCTGAGCTGAATGGCCGGTGGGGCCCTCATTGCCACAACCGCTGAACATCTGTTCCCGGAGAGCCATACTCGACGATTTGACGTCCGAGGGCTGCCGCGTATATACCGAGGCCATATCGTTGAAGGTGGGTTGCCCAGAGGACGTCAGCTTTGCGGGGGGATAATCGGGCACTCCGCCGTGGCAAGGCTTGTCGTGCCATAGTACGATTCCATGTCCGCTTGTTGGTACTGTACATCTGCCGACGATGGCATGGCATCTGCTGGCGGGGTGTGCGGTCCGGCCAATTCTTCTCGGTAAGCCTCGGTCTGGTCAAGGGCCTGCGTGACCGGACTGGACGATACTAGACGCCGTATTGAGATTCGACAAGACATTGCCGTCGGGGGGGGGTTCGCTGAGTATGTTGTCGAGCGTTGGGGTGTGCTGGAGCAGGATGTGAAGTGAGTGACTGGGGAGGTTGCCGCGCTATTTATGTCGATTCAATGGGCATTTGTAGACCTTTGTCGAATTACACAACCCGGGCCTGTGCAGGGGGTGCTCTATTCTGGTCATAACAGCTATGGAGGTACTCTCTATTCTTGGTGCCGGCTCGCAGAGACTTGGGAGGTTGACAAGCGTTTGGGTAGGCAAAGAGCAAGCGCCATAGGCGATGGAAGGTCAG